CGTTATTGGAAAGGAATACCGACGCTTTCTGTCTTTTCTGGAAAACCTGTTGCTTCTACCGTAAGAAATTCAAGAATAGAAAATCATGACACAAATAGGTTTGTCTATACCCCTTATTATTAATTCAATATTCTATAATTTATGTGTTGATCTTTTGGGATATTGTTGATTATGACTGAATTCTATTCATGTTGTTTGATTGATATTCCTAATAGAATTCTTATATCATTGACTTACAGATGTTTGCAGGGAGTTGAGAGTTTATTAATAGAGAGAAGTTGCATTAAAAGAGGTGAATAAGAAGGCAGAAGTTGAGTTTTTTATGAAAGTGCAAAATTGTCCATAAAACAATGAGAGGGGTTATAAAGTACAAAACTTTTCAAAATGGCCTATTTTTTATTTAATCATGAAATTACAACATCTTAATATAATATCTCTTTTTAAAACTTATTTGGGTTAATAACAGTAACTATAGTTAGGTATAATCAACAAAAATCTCACTGTGGTTAGATTAATAATTGAAATCCCCTTACCGTTAATTATATGGTATTAAAATAAACAATAAAGGGGCAATTACATAAATATTCATTCTCCTATGGTGCGTTTGGATCAGGGTCATATATGATAATGAGGGTAATCTTCGTTTATTTTGCAAGATTCTGTTGTTTGGTTTGTAAGTAATAAAATATTATGGTATCTTTTATTGTAAATAGTGTTTACTGTTGATAATGTAGGGAATAATCCTATACCCTCCCCCTAATGTGTTATTAAAAGATTACTAGGCAATTTGATTTTTATACTTATTTTGTCCTTAATTAAATACCATTTCGGATACAATTACCCTCAAATGTCTACTAAATGACCATTAACCTAGCCCGCCTACATTTGAGAATTTAGCTAAAATACCTTAGCCACAAAAAAGTTAAAAAGTTAACAAAATACACCCAACCACCCAAGACCACCGTCAGCTGCCGACATCATTTGCCATAATGGCACATGACCGGAGCTATCTAGCCAGTCGTGCGTTGGTAAGGCCGTTTCTATGGCCATTTCATGGCCACATCTTTGGCTGTGAAACAGCTATAGATTTGGCCATGAAACGGCCATGGATCACGGAAATGGCTTTGCCGGCGCACGGCTGGCCATATACAGTGAGTCATGCACCATTCCGTTCACTGTCGGCAATGACCTGTGGTGGTGGTTGGCTGTCAGAAGTGGCTTGGGGTGGATGAGGGTGATTTTGCTATAAATTAAAGTTTTATATAATTGGAGTGTTTTAACAAAATTTCAAATATTAGGGTTAAAAGTGATTCAAGAAATAATAATAATAATAATAATAATATATTAATATTTAAAAATAAGGGTAATTATGTATTCTATATAACATATAGACCCATTTATCCTTCCAATCAAATATATAAATATAACATATTCTCTAATTTATTTAAATCAACCAAATACATTTCCCTAAATATTCTGAATAATCTTTAAGATGATTTATATTTCCATTTAATATAACATCTTATATGATACAATACTACGTGATCTAAACGTTAATTTGAAGACGCTTCATTGCCTGCTTTCTTAAAAAAAAAAAAAAAAAAAAAAAAAAATCCTAGTGTAAGCAGTTCAACAGTTATTACACAACCTTTTCTCTTCACCGCGTGATCAATTTTTTTCTTCTAAACTAAATTTAGAAACAGAACCGAAACCCTAAAATTCTTACTCCGATTCAATTTGAATTTATTAGCAATCAATTTTGAATCTTAGACCAAATTGGAATTGATTGGTTTGTACAAATGGCAGAAGAGACAAGTGGAGGTGGATCTGAAATAACGAATGGCGTGGGACTGTCATCAATGGACTCAATGGAGTCGAGATGGGTATTCCAGAATGACGACGAATCGGAGGTGGATGAGGATGAGGAAGACAGAGAGTCTGAACATCGCGCTGGATTGGATTCTGAAGACGAGGAAAGTGGTGAACAACGCTTGATTCGCACAGGACCTCGTATTGATTCATTTGATGTCGAAGCTCTTGACATACCCGGCGCCATTCGAAATGACTATGAGGTACATTGTGTTCGGATTTAACATTTAGTTGGTTTATTAGATATTTTGCTTCTTTAAAGCTTAGTTGATAATTCTTTTGAGCTGCTTGCGAACTCACATGTAGTAATTTTATCTGATTTATAAGTGTTTTCTTCAGTAGCAATTTATGTGTAATGAAACGAACTTTTAGTTTGTTGGCAAAGTGGGCTGGAAATGTCTCGTTATATCTCGCTTATGTAAATAGTAGTGGAAACGGTAGATTATTGTAACGTGCTGGTTTGTCTGAATCAAATGGGATCTTTTAATTAATGAAGGAACGTTGATTTTGAAATATTTAGAGCCATGCATGAATTGTTATTCCATTAGTGTCTTTGCTTGCTATGAGGATTCCTGTCTACTTAGGTCAAGTTTTGAATATGTATACTCTTTTGTACATATTTGAGTGGGTGAGCATAAGATCACCAATGATGAACAATTGAATCATGAAGTTGTAAGTTTATTTTATATAGCAACGGATATAACAGTTGGAGCTTACTGCCTGATTTGTGTAATTGTAGTTGCAGGACTTCAGTGTGGGAAAGAGAATCATACTTGTTTTTCAGACACTTGGTGTCGTCTTTGGTGATGTTGGAACAAGTCCGTTATATACCTTTGATGTGATGTTTACCAAGGCTCCTATAAATGGAAATGAAGATGTTCTTGGGGCATTATCACTGGTTTTATATACCTTGATCTTGATTCCACTGGTGAAGTATGTCTTTGTTGTTCTTTGGGCCAATGATGATGGTGAAGGTATGCTGGAAGTTATTAAACCATTTTTTTTTTTTTTTTTGAACTTTTTATGTGTCTGTAATATATGATTATATATTCATATACATGCATGTATTTATTTGTGTATGTAATTAGAAGTTAGTGCAAAAACGATGTGTGCCATTCATGTGGTGCTTCATTGTTGCAGGTGGTACTTTTGCATTGTACTCGTTGATTTGTCGGCATGCTAAGGTTAGTCTTCTCCCAAATCAGCTTCCTTCTGATGCTCGTATATCAAGCTTCAGACTGAAGGTGCCATCGGCTGAACTGGAGAGATCACTGAAAATCAAGGAAAGACTTGAGAACTCACAGACTCTGAAAAGGCTTCTACTGATGTTAGTGCTTGCTGGTACTTCTATGGTGATAGCTGATGGGGTTGTTACACCGGCAATGTCAGGTTTTATATGTTGTTTCTTTTTGCTAACGCTTGCAGTTATGGCTCAAGTCACAGGAAAGCTGTTCTAGATGCTTATTTTGCATTGTTATTTATATATATGTCTTTCTTGGTGCAGTAATGTCAGCTGTTGGTGGTCTAAAGGTTGGAGTAACTGCCATTAAGCAAGGTAATGTGATATCCTCAATCAATTAAGCTTTTATTCTTTGAGTTTACATTATTTTCTTGCTTTTTGATATTTAGTAATGAACAGACAGCATGTGAGCTTTTGGATTGTTCATTTTCTTTATTGGAAAAAAGTTAAAATGATAATGACCTTATTGTTCCTAGCAACTGGTAAATGTCTGCCTCCTTTTAGGGCTGAAAGGGATGACATTTTGCTTTCTTACATGCCCTATGAGGAGAGGTATTATATCAAGGAGACATGTTGACTCAGTTTAGCCTGTGTGACAATGCCAGTAAAAAGGAGAACTGAATAGGTCTTGACCTGAAACCTGAGCAAGTGAATAAATTAAGTATTTGTAAATACTTTAAACACATTGGAAACATTATAAAGTTTCTGATTTTTAGAAAAAAATACTACATTTTGTTCTGATACCAGTCTTTTGTTTTGCAACTCTGGTATTTGAGTAAAGAGAGCATTTGAATTCTTGAAATAGAAGTTTTTAGATTTTATAAAATTGTTAGAAACTTTTTCCTGGTTTTGAAACAATAACTTTATGTATATATGAAAGATAAGTAAAAAAAATTAACTGCAAATGAAGAAATTCATTCAAACCAGTACAATAATTTATTCATTGGACAAGGAAAATGGTTAAAGTCAAGTAGAGTTTTTGAAAAACCACCCATTTTACGAGGGTAAAAGTCAAGGGACAACCTTTCAGTCTGTAGAAAACTTTGGATTGACTGTCATATGTTTTGATAGTTCTCGAAACCTGAACTATTGTATCAAGTTACATTATGATATACACATGCCAGTAATTTTTATCTTCAAACACCTCAAGACAAAGGAGTCTCAACCTTCATCTACATTCTGTTATACAATCATCTATATCTTTCGTCAAGAAATAACTGCATTTCAGTCAAACTGAATTTCTTGTCACAACTATATACAATTTCTTAATACCAGCAATCCAACACCGTAATTAAATTAGAGTACAATTTTCGCTGCTGTGATTGTCATGACAAACATCTATTACAATTGTACATATTGCTCCTCATTCATGGTGAATAAAAATTACAAATTGTTCGTTCATCACAAGATGAACAATGACAAAATCCAATTTCCATGTGATCTTCATGGTCTCTAATAGGAAGAGTTCTGAACCAAATAAAATCAACATGTTTAACTGTTTACTTATGCTGCACAGACTTATGTTGCAGTCTTATGTTGCACAGTAACCAAATTAATGCATGCCTGAATTCAATAAATAAATATACAGAAATATGCCTAAATTTAACAAAAGATAACAACAATGCATCTTTTAAAGAATCGTGTCATACTCAAGGTAATGCATTCCATGCAAGAAAATTTTAACATTTTTAATAGTACTTTATGTAATAAGAATTTTTAAAAACCATAATTAGTTGTTTATATAAAAGATTCACATATTTTAATGATTTAAATATATCAGTCTCCTATATATATATATTAAAAAATTTGTTACTCTTAAAAACCCCACTTTATATAGCATTATCAAGCCATGAAAACAGTTTTGCACATACAGTTAAATTGGTCTGGCTGGTTGATTGAGAGATGATAAGGGATAATCTTTTCAGATGGTTGTTCATTTTGGATGAAAAGTTTGCAATAGTTGGGAAAAGCATGTTAATTCAAACGTGTTGTACAAAGAAGATAAGGTTGCTATAAACAATGTAGATAAATGTAGCAATGAGTACACTATCACATTTATAATGGGGAACATTAATCCACGTGGAGTAGAATGGTGCAAAGAACGTATTCAGTTGATACCATTTAGTTGGATTAACACTTAGTTTAATAAGTTTAAAACCTAGCAAAATTGATAAAAAATAAAGTTGCTGAGGATTCTACCAAATGAATTTATCACACTACTGGCACTATGTTGATACAAATTGATAATTGTATTCTAAAAAATGTTGCTAAAGAAAGGGTTTTTCCTCTTATATCTTGTTGGTCTCATTTAGGGACAGATACAAAAATTTACAATGGGCTATGCTAAGATGGATTTAGTTGGGCACATATCATATCAGTATTATTTTTTGGTTTGAAAAACCTGGAGCAACCTTTACCTAGTGCCCCTAGTACCATGACTTAATTTGAATTGTATGCTGTGAACTAGGATTAATTTTATTGCTGAAGTACATGCAGTCAAAGATCATAGCTTGGCCTTGATCCTGCTGGTTGGACTTGGTGCCATGACCTAATTTGGATTTTTGGGAACTATGATCAATTTTCCAGCTGAGTTACATGTTGTCAAAGAGTGATATTGTTGTGTTGTTTCAAAATCAGAAGAATTATAATTTGGTTTAGTAATTCGTTCTCCATATCAATTATGTAACTGTGAGTGTGCTGTTGAAGTAACTTGCTGAGGTAACAAGTAGTATTTTTATTTAATGAGGAGGGATTCATTACTCTAGGTGTAGGATTTGCAACTCTTTGCATGAATTTATTACTCTTTATGTTACACTTTCAAGTTGGATTTATCGATTAAACTATACAAATAATGCATATGATATTTAAAATTGTTCAAACATCACTAATTATACCATTAATAAACCTAATTTATATTAATACTGTTGCATTAAAATAAAAGCACATTTGAAGATTTTTGATGAATGGCTATAGATTTCCGATTGATATTAAAAGAGAAATATTGTGCATGGTCAAGATAGGAAATCCAATATTTTGGTAGGATATGACTACTATAAAAATTTATTAAGTAGTATAAAAGTAAGAAATAAGACATTTGCTTTAAATGAATTGAATTCTTTATTGAATTTTTATTTTTATTTTATCCCTCTAATTCCAAATGGGATGCTCGCTATTTTATGGTTTGTAAATTTAATTGAGCAAACTAGTTATTTTATTAGTTAATTTTTTATGCCTTTTTTTTTTTTTGGGTGCAGATGAAGTGCTGATGATTTCAGTTGCCTTTCTCGTAATTTTGTTCAGTGTACAAAAGTATGGTACAAGCAAAGTAGGAATGGCTGTAGGTCCTGCTTTATTTATATGGTTTTGCTCTCTTGGTGGCGTTGGGATTTATAACCTTGTAAAATATGACAGCAGTGTCTTGAGAGCATTTAATCCCATTCACATCTATTTATTTTTCAAGAGAAACTCAACTAAGGCTTGGTCTGCACTTGGAGGTTGTATTCTTTGTGCAACAGGTGAGCATGCCAATCTAGGAATGATTTGGAAGCATTGTTTTTTATTTGAAATTTGAGCAGATCTGAATGTTAAGTGAAATTTGAATTTATAAATCTGAATGATGTGCTTATAGTTGTTGCGTTTATTTTTTTTTTTTATTTATGTATGAACATTAGTTTTAGTCTATTTGTTTTAATAGCAAAACAATGAGAACCAATCTTTCCAAATTAAGAAATGTGACCAGGAGTGGTGGCAAAAGACTGAAGGCCCTAGGTTTGGGATTATAAATTAATGACAAAATGGTAGGGGGAACCCAGGCTGGATGAAACCAGGAAGCTTTTGGAATGTCAAGTAGGAAAAAGGTAGTTAGGGAGAAGAGTCTAGGTGCTAGATAAGTTAAAAGGGGAAGGCATGATGAATGACAGAATGAGGAACTTTTCAAGAGAAGAAGTCAAATGGTAACCAGGCTTGGGGACCTGGTAATTCTAGAAGAAATCAATTGGTGGCAGAAACCTAAGGCAAAGTGGGTGAGGGCAGGGGATCAATACAATAATGTTTCCTAGAATTGTGTGTGGAATTAAAATTAGAAACCTGATCAGCAAATTAGAAACAAAGGATGGGTTTGTGACTGGAAATGGCATGATTCTTATTAAAACAAAAAAAATGAGGATGGAATGAGAATGAAGGAAGAGATTATCAATAACATATGAAGTTGTACTCAAATCATGTGTTAGAAAACCAATACTATACATGCTCAATTGGAACCCCATCTCCAAAGAATTAGGCAAGCTGGTTGGAGAGATTGTTTATTGAGCAGGAGAATAAAAGGGGCTTTTATGAATGTTGCAACTGAATGTTTCACGGAGAATGCCCAAGCCTGGATGGCTTTCCTTCAATGTTGGGACATCGTTATGGAGGATTTAATGAAGATTTTTGGGGAATTTTTTCATAGGTGAGTATTTAATGAGATAACTAATGCCCAATGCTGCATTCATAGGCCTTATTTCTAAATATATAAGAATCCTTGAAGATACATATTTGATACATACAAGCTTATGCAAGTCCTTGCCAAAGGTTTCTCTCCTATGTTGAAAGAGGTATTTAAAGGAACTATATCTGCAGGACAAGCAGCTTTTGTTTATGTACTTTTGGTGGCTAATGAATTGTGGAGAAGTGTGAGGCAGTGGTGATTAAAATCCACTTTGAGAAGGCATAATATAATTTGGATTGGAATTTCTTGGATTATCTCCTAAAGGTTATGAGTTTTGTACTAGATGGAGGGGATGATCAAGGGTATCCTCCAGTTGATGAACTTTTTGATTTTTATTAATGAGCTTCCCAGGGGACATTTTGGTGCTACAAAGGATTAAGGCAAGAACCCTCTTTCTCACTTTTATTTAACTTTGGTGCTTGATAGATTAAGTAGACTGATAGATGAAGCTATTTCACTAGATTAAATGAGGGTATGTTGAGAAGGATAAAATTGAGGTCTCTCATCTTCAAGGTATCAATGACATGATATTCTTCTTTTTGTATGCCAGTGTGATTAATATTTGCATTTTTATTGAAGCATAGTGTTGGAATCTTCCATTGATGGTTGCATTTCTGAATCCTATATTACCATTCTCTTTTATGATTGCTGCTTTGGATTTTGTTTCAGGTTCTGAGGCAATGTTTGCAGATCTTTGCTACTTTTCAGTGCGATCAGTTCAGGTGAAGATACTGCAGAATAGCATTATCTGGATTAGATATTTTTACATTACCTTTGATATATCAGCATCTTTTGGTGTTTCATTTCTGATTAGGTGTTGTTATTGATACGATTCTGATGTATTTGATAGTGGTTTTCTGCAGCTTACATTTATGTTTCTCGTTTTACCATGCCTTCTGTTGGGTTATTTGGGTCAAGCAGCTTACCTTATGGACAACCATTCTGGAGCTGAGCAAGTTTTTTTCAATTGCATTCCAAGTAAGCTTTGCATCTTATCTCTATCAATGTGCAAGGTCTTTGCAATACTTTGAAAATGGATTAGTTTTGTTTTATAATTGTATGATTTGTTTTTTTTTACTAAATTTTTTGTTTTTGTAAAATCTTAAATACTATTTCTGTTGTAGAGATGTATTAATCCTTCTTTTTTCCTTTCGGCATTTTGTATTTGCTGGAGATTTTTAAGTGTTAAGCTATTATACTTTGTCTGCAGCTGGCGCTTTCTGGCCTATCCTCCTCATTGCTAACATAGCAGCACTGATTTCAAGTCGGGCTATGACCACCGCAACATTTTCGTGTATAAAACAATCAACTGTGCTTGGTTGTTTCCCTCGTCTTAAAATCATCCATACCTCTCGAAAATTCATGGGCCAGATTTATATCCCAGTTATTAATTGGTTTTTGTTGGTCGTGTGTGTGTTGTTTGTCTGCTCTATCGCAAGCATTACTGAGATGGGAAATGCATATGGTAATACTCTTTTGAATCTTTATGTATCATTTTTGGTTCACTTTTAATCTCATGATTTAAAGTATTTCGGTGAAATTTACTGGTAAAATCTAGCTTCTAGGTCTTTTTTTAATTTTATTTTGTTATTTTATTTTTAACTTTGTTGGATATGAAGCAGAATAACTTAAAATGCTATAGTAAATTTTGAAGAAAGCAAACAACCATCTGCAAATATTGGAACAGCCTTGAGGCCTACAAAAATTATCTATACATTTGTAATTAATTCTGAAAACTAGCGTCTTAAAAATGAGCATTGCCCTTGAAACCACTGAAACCTGCCAAAACTCCTTGATTTGAATGGATTATGAAGCATAACATATATTTTTTGAGACTGAGACCTACAAAGAAGCTACTTATAATTACAATTGTTATGACTAGTGTGAATCATCTCAGTCAAGGTTTTGCGTGTGAAGCTGTTCATTTTGCATGGCATGTGTTATTTTAAGTAAATTTGTTCGGAAATATGTTTAACTTCAGCTATTTTGACAGCAAGTTAGGAAATTCATCTTCCATAACATATATTATACCACAGTAAGGTAGTTAAGATTGGTGTTTTTAAGATTAGGAGCTGTCCATCGAATTCTTTCATAATGCTTTATGGATTACATGGTGATGGAGAAAAAGCATTAGCAAGATATTTGATGTAAAATAATTTGTAGTTGATATTGAGGAGAAAATATATTGCTTTTGACTTTCTTATCAAGATGTCTTTGTTTGCTTGGACTGTGGTTATCCGAAGAATTCTCAGGGCTAAAAATTTGATTAAAAGTGATAAAGTTGTTATAAGTTGGAGGTTTATTTGTAAATAGATGGAGAAACTGCCAATCAGTGATTGCTACATTGTGTTTGTGCAGTTGTTAAGGTTTTCTTTAGTGGATTCACTGGGTTATATCTTCTTTCATACTTGAAATTCTTTTTCTTGGGGTTGGATTGGGAGGAATTAATGATAAGGTTGCTTGGTGGGATCCTTCTTGCTAATGTGAATCATTTGGTTGGAGTGAAATGGAAGGGGATTTGAGGGGACAGAAAAGTCATTGTTACTTTGAAATTGGGATTCTTGAAGACATTATTACAAAGTTCTGTATGTTCGTGTTTATTTTTTTTATTGAGTTTCTGGATACCATAGATTTTAATTATTTGTCTTTTCTGTAAGAATCTCCTTAATTCTCCTACTCTAATTGGGCATTTATTTCTTGTATTTATCCATGTACTTCTAAGAAAAAAATGATACTATACAGTATTCAAATAGTTTTTCAAAGTTGTAGTTGCTTTTTAGCATGGTTTCAGCTCAGATGCAATTCACACACCCTCTGTGTGTGCAGAGGAGCAAGTAGCCTATGCTAATTCTAGTTACGCTGAATTTAGCAAGACTTCTGCTAGCTGATTGCAAAAGACGTGGTCAAAATAGCTGTGAGCTTCAGAAGAAAATATCAATGATCTTCAAAACTGTTAAATTATATTTGCTTTTATGTGTTTTTACCTAAGTGTTGTATGGGAATGAATAAAAGGAGACTCTTAAGTTGGAGAAAAAAGTAGTCTTAAGTTCTCAAATCTATGAATTGAAAGAAGCAAAGGTTATTAGTGAGTGGAGCTACTTCTGATGGTTTTTTCTCTCTAGATCACTGCTACTCTGCCTGAAAAGACCCTCTGAAGTTTATCAAAATTTAACTGATTGACAAATAGAGGGTTCTCATACTATGCTGGATTCAGCTAGACTCCTAGCTAATTGCTAACTGACTTCATCTAAACTAATTCAGTGGTACACCTTTTACAGTTGCTTCTATAGTATTTTGGAAGAAAGGAGAGAGTCTAAATTGGGGAGTAGATGTTACAGAAGTCAGCTAGGGCAAGAGAAGGAAATGGATAATTGCTAGGGTAGAGGAGCCTTTGCTGCCTTCTATGCTGAATTAAAATAACATTCTTCCTAGTCTTTCATGGGTCAATCTTAAATGTCGCTGACTTTATTCTTTTCTTTTTTTCAAGAATATATCTTTCTAATGTTGTTTTTATTTTTTTTATTTTTTACAGGCATTGCTGAGCTGGGAGTGATGATGATGACAACAGTTTTAGTGACTATCGTTATGCTTCTTATATGGCAGATAAACATTATAATTGTGCTCAGCTTCGTGGTTTTTTTCCTGGGAATGGAGCTGACCTTTTTCTCGTCGGTTTTGGGGAGTGTGGGGGATGGAAGTTGGATAATATTGGTTTTCGCCATAATAATGTTTTTTATAATGTACATCTGGAACTATGGAAGTAAGCTGAAGTATGAAACTGAAGTCAAGCAAAAACTGTCAATGGATTTGATGCGGGAACTGGGCAGCAATCTTGGGACAATTAGAGCTCCTGGAATTGGCTTGCTTTATAATGAGTTGGTGAAGGGAATACCTGCAATTTTTGGCCATTTTTTGACTACTCTTCCAGCAATTCACTCCATGATTATATTTGTTTGTATAAAGTATGTTCCAGTTCCTGTTGTGCCACAAAGTGAAAGGTTCCTTTTCCGAAGAGTGTGTCCAAAAAGCTACCACATATTCCGATGTATAGCCCGGTAAATGCTCTATTCCTGCAAGCCAGTAGCTGTTATTATTATGATGAGGTTTTTTATGTAAGCTCAGAGTCACAGATAATAGTGGTGACCTTGCCTCACCTCGAATGCCAAATGTTTTAATGATTTTTGGAATTTACCATTTTCATTTTATCTCTGGTTTTCTCTTTTGGTCCGATGATATTGCCTTAAAAATTTAATTCAGCTACTGTGAATAGGTATGGCTACAAGGATGTTCGCAAAGAAAATCACCAGGCATTTGAGCAGCTGTTAATTGAGAGCCTTGAGAAGTTCATTCGTCGGGAAGCCCAGGAACGGTCATTGGAAAGTGATGGGGATGATGATAATGATTCTGAGGATGATTTAACTAGTACAAGACTTCTCATAGCTCCTAATGGAAGTGTCTACTCGCTTAATGTTCCTCTCCTGGCTGAGTTCAAGGACAAAAGTGAGCCCATTTCAGAAGCAAGCACCTCTGAAGAGGTGAAGCCTGAAATGCCTGTAGATTCTACAAATTCTGATCCAGAGCAGAGCCTGGAGAGGGAGCTGTCTTTTATTCGCAGGGCTAAAGAATCTGGGGTCGTTTATCTTCTTGGCCATGGAGATATTAGAGCAAGGAAGGATTCCTGGTTTATCAAGAAGCTTGTCATAAATTATTTCTATGCTTTCTTGAGAAAGAACTGCAGGAGGGGGATTGCGAATTTGAGTGTTCCCCACTCACATCTCATGCAGGTTGGGATGACTTACATGGTTTGATGCTTGATTCTGCTTCCAGGAAGGGCAGATCTCAACATGAAAAGTTTGACACTCTTCGTCTTATGGCATGTTCAGCTGTCAATGTAAGTTGCATCCGTTAATTTACACAAGCTTACACAATTTTCTTGATTATTGATGGCCCTTTGGATCTGCCAATCATTGAATTTTTTCCACCTTGTTGATCAGGAATTTTTCTAGTGTTTCAGCTTGGGTTGTCTTTGATGTATTCAATTTTTACTATTCCAACAGATGCATATGGAAATTGCCTCTTGTAACCAGCATGTTTTAAGTGATGTGAATGTGATTTTTCATAAATCTAGTTGCCGCCGCAAAAGGCCTGTTCAAAATTTATATATTTTGGCCTAGTCATTCCATCACAGACTTAATAAAAAGGGCATGAAGAATAGGTAACAGGTCAGCTGCCTGGACTGATTCACTGTATTGATACCTGAGTTAAAATCTGGCTTTAAAAAAGCCCATCATAGAATTTTGTATTTAGGCATTTTCATTGTATTTTGTTTTCTTTTATTATTATTATTATTTTGTTTTTCATATTTAACAATTCGTATTCGTATTGATAATAGTGTTGCAATTAAATATAATTGGATGATAGATAAATGATATGTTTACTTGTTCTGTAGTTCATTCAAATGATAGGTTATGTTATAATAGGAAGTGTCCTTTTTAAGTTTATTTTTCTTTTGTCCATTTTCTGTCATGATTTTTGTCCTTGACAATACCCTTTGTTTCCAAGGGCATTTTGGAGCCCTAGAAAATTGTTAGTTGAATCCAATAATAAAGATTTATAAATATCTTTTTTTCTCAAGTTGGTAAAGTACATTTTCATCTGACTTTTGCGGTCATTTCTGCTCTTAGTCGCTTTTTCTTTTTTCGGTTTTTCGTGTGGAAAATATGGAGATTAATTTAAGTTCCTTCACTAAAATATGTTTTAGAACATTTCTAAAGTACTCTTTATATGACTTAAATTCTGTATTATAAAGAATTTATCTATAAAACAACACTTCAACAAACTGTTTATTTTTTATATATAAATTAAAGAGTGAGTTTGACTCTCCACATTTAGAAAGTCATATTTCATTCTATCTTAATTTTAATTAGTAAATTATAAGTTTTTCATTGTTTTAAAAACCGGACCGGAGGGTAACCCGCTCTGATGGCTGGGTCACGATTCAATCGGTCTAACCGGTTGGACCGGTGACATCATCACACATCATAATGACGTCAGCACATTTTAAAAAAAAACAATTTTTTTTTTTAGATTTCTATTTTTCAATAAGACAATAAAAATTTAATTACTATCCAATATGACTCAAAGTTCAAATTCAACAACAATCCTAACATAATTTAAGTATTTAACAACAATTCAAAGTCTAAATCCAAACATGATGTTATATTTACATATCAAATGACAAAATACATAATAATTAAAAATTAATAACAAAACATTTGATGCAAGTATTTTTTCTTTGATCCATCTCCATATTGATTGAGCTTCACACACTAGCATCAAAATTCATCACCATTATCACCATCATCATCATCAAAACCATCACCACCATCTACGCAAATTTCAGTAAAAAATAGAAATCATAAATTAAAACTTATAATTTAATTTAAATAGATACTAAGTTTTAATCTTTTTCAAGATCATCTGTGAGTAAACTTTTTGGTATAATCAAAAGAATCAAATACAAAATACATTGTTAATTGTTTTTATATGGCATATAAATGTAACATAAAACAAAACTTGTCGTCACTCACAACCATAGCCACAACCACAACCACGAAAGAATATGATTACTACAATGCTAGTACCAACTATTAGGTTTGAATGTGATAGAAAGTTATGCTGACAATCACTGCCACGAAAGAATGACTTAAAATGGAGTATGCCAGCCCAATCTGCAGATATCCTATCTTGTTTAACCAGGTTTTGCAAAACTATATATGAATGGTTTTTTATGACCTAAAAATCTATACTAGCTAAAAAACTGCCCAATCTGCCCAATCTGCCCAAGCCTCAGAATGCAAAAAAACTATCATAACAACTATCAGCTAAGGGAAGCTTTTTATGACCCAAAAATCTATGAGTAATACTACACATACATCATTTTCATACAACATTTCCCATACAACATTATGTGGCAAGATATGATTGGCTAATTTAAAGTTAAAATTAAACTTTTACTCAATCATATCTTGCCACATAATGTTGTATGGAAAATATTGTATAAAAATGATGTATGTGTAGTATTATTCAAAATCTATACTAGCTAATCCAATTACTTAATCATCTACAGTCTCTCAGCAAAAGCAATTTTCATCTTTGTTTTAACTCTTGGTCATGTATCAGCATTTTCAAAAAAATATTGCAAACTCTACATCCAATCAGTGGTAGAGCATTGAACTTTCTGTAGTGGAATTAATCAAGGACTGATTTTTAACATCAATATCTGGTTCTACAGAAATTAAAAGATCCCAACACCTATAATAACATTGTTAATTTTCACTTAATTCTATTACTCCCATCATTTACATTTAAAAGATCTGAAGTTGTAGTAGTCAAACTACAAAAGTATACATAAAGGTTTTAAAACTTACATAGACCTCATCATTTTTTACCATATATAAATTGGAATAAATTCCCTGCACTTTTTTTGAGCAAATATAGACCTAAATTTTAGAAGCCTATATCACCAACTAATTTTACTGTATTTATTGTTAAATCCAAAAACAATTTTGTAATATATATGTTTATTAAAAAAAAAAAAAAATCACCAACACAAACTCATTAAATTCAACCCTTTTTTCCCAGTTCTTCATGAAATCATATTCATGACTGAAAACAAAGAAGACCGAACAAATTCAACCCTTTTTCTCATTTCTTAACGAAGTTCTGATGTTACTTAGAAAACAAAGAGCAGAGAGAAAGTTCAGATTCAAAAACATTACTCATCATCAGTTTCAACGCCAAATCCGAAATGGGATTCGATTTCAAAACCCTTTTTTACTCTAAAACCAGGAGATCTTACCGATCAAACAAAGAGATCAAATCAAACAACCAAAGTATAAGATCACTACAGACTACAGAGAGAAAAAGAAAGGAAAAAATCATACGTACTTCACAGTGCTGGGCAGTTTAAACGATAACCACTCAAGCTAGCTGAAGCTTTTCCTCTCAGCGGCAAACAAACAAACAACTGGTGGCAGCTGTAGGCTATAGTTCTTTAGATACCTTTTTCTTAGCCCCTTTTGACTAATATTTATAAAGAGTCAGTAAACAGAAGAGTGGGATTTCAGAGAGAACAAAAGACAGAGCCGAAACCCTGAGAATTTTTGCAGAGATCAGAGTGTTTGCTGAGAAATTTTCGTCATAAAAACTGAGAAAGACTGAAAGAGAAGAAGATGAGAAAGGGCTGCGTGACAGAGAAGAAGATGAGAAAGGGCTACGTGAAAGGGAAGAAGATTGTCGCGTATTAGGGATTTAAATTGTGGACCGGTTTTTCCGCCGGTCCGGTTGGACCGTCAGTTCAGTCACATTATCCGATTTTCAACCGGTTTAAAGCGGTTCAATGTATATTAGCGGGTTTGAGTGTGACTCGAACTGGACACATGACCGATTCACGGTCCAACCGGTTGGACCGGCCGGTCTGGTCCGGCTTTTAAAACATTGAAGTTTTTATGCATTTTATTTATTAATTCTATCTTCCATTAAATCTCTTTGTGGGAAAGAAAAATGAAGAATTAAAATTTAAAGAGTCTATTAGATTTGAATAGAAAATTTGTTCTTTATATTTAGAAATTAATGAATATGCTATTTATTTATATGAAAAATACTCTTTAAAATAAAGAGTATCATTAGAGATGCTCTCATATATTATTTTCTATTTTTATTTTTTTGTATGAAAATATTTTTAATTAAATTTATTATTGTTTAATTAATATAGTAATGATTTAACATAATTAATTTTATTGTTTACTATACTATTATTGCACGCACGCACCAAAACTTTTAACGCCTATTTTTGGAGAAAATTTAACTACTATGACCTCTCAAGTTTGCATTTAAGGAAATGACTGAAATTTATTTATTTATTATTATTTTTTTTTTTACTTTGAAAAATTGATGTGGTACACTTAAGAATCACTAAACATGCAAAAGGGTTAGATTGAAAAGATTTAAACATATATGGGTAATAGTTAATTAATGAAAATTGGTTTAAATTTTAAAAATTAAAAACGACCCCTCTATTCAAAATTGATTAATCAACGGACGCAAACCAAAATAAGCAATCGATGAAAACACCCACTTCTCTCTTGCAATTTTTGACGATTTTCGTTCCCATTTTTCAGCAATCTTTGCTCTTTAGATTTTTGTTTCCCTGTTAGTTACACAAACAAACCATGGTTGAAATTAACAAATCTGAGGAAAGTGGAAAAGAATGGCCGTAGAGGAGTTTGATAGTGTCCTTGTTGATTATCAGTTTGATGAGAGGATGATGCAGTATGTAAGGGGGGAAAGGCCCAAATATGCAACAGTTGGGCAAATGTGAAAAGAGTATACTGCATCGTGAACATCAAGGATATGCATTGGGTAATCGTCGTTTGGCTACTGGAGGAGGGCTTGCTACAGATCCTTGATTGCAACCCAAGTATTTGTCGAGAAAGGCAGTTGGACACAAAGATGCAGCTGCTGTGTACATTTTTCGCGCAGCTGTTGCGAGACAGTAGGATGTTTCAACACTTGGGTGATGAACTATTGACGGGAAAATGGCCACACAAGCGTGTTCCCGTCCTGACAAATGAGGCGAGGTAAATTTTGTATAAAACTTACATAATACAATTATTCTATAAGCTGATTCTAGTACTATTGTCTTCCTCATATTGTAGTGTTGATTGCGGGTTATATGTACTAAAATTCCTTGAGTTCGACATGACCAACACCCTAATAGACAGCTTGAATGACGATACAATGAGCAACTTTCGAGAGCGCTTGGCTGTTGAGTGCGTTCACAAACATATGGATCCTTTAGTTACTACGGAAGGTATGCTTGTGATCACTAATCTGTACCAATTCTTTTATTTTGTGTTTGTTGGTGATGTTGTAGGCATGGATCATTGAGTCATCGGTTGAATTTAGCCTTAATAAACCAGTCGGCCAAGTCTAATATTGTTTTCATTACTAATACAAATTCTGCTGATGGCTATTGGGTTTGTGAAGTACACCATGGAAATTATCAACCTTTTGATTGACCAAAACCAATCCAAGTCATTGTTGATGTTGTCATCAACAAGTATGGAAATTGGACTTAGAGTTTTGTAGTTTATGTGAATTGCATTCTTATATGGATAATTGGGTTGTCTTGAATTGGATCAGCTAGTGTTGTTGGGCATCAAGCTGTTGATAATTGGGTTGTGGTGCATTAAACTAATGTTATGTATGCTTTATTTCCAAGGCCAAGGTTGGATAATGTTGGAAGAGGTGTTATAGAAGAAGACGAAGAGTCTGTTGTTGCTACTGCTATTGCTA